TAATGTTGTATGTTGACATGGAAGTTAATAGCGTTCCTTTAAAGGTACTGGATTGGTAAACAATGTGACACACATTTTCTTACGTTCTTTAGTTGATAAAACCCGATGGGTGAATTTTCCATCTCCTAGGAAAAACACCATGATCTTTCATCGAATAAGTCTTTCCGTAGAATTCTATATGCATCTTTGAAATCGAGTACGAAATTGTATTTACATAAAAGTTTTGGTAGAGCCGAATCTAAGCGTTGGCTAGGTAAGTGTCCGTAGTAAGAGGTATAGTTGAAAAAGCTTTTACTGTGTCGCTTAAGTTGTATAGGAATTCCTAAGCCTAAGAGTTGAATCCTGCGATTTTTTTGATCGTTTGTTGTACAATTAAAAAAAATAAAGCTTTTTCTTCTTCGCAACAACATATGAATAATTCCTTGATTTTGGTTAAGGGATTCTTGAATTCTTGCCTTGGAATAAATCTTCTACTATCAGCCTCCTGCCACCTAAGAAAGAAAGATGGGAAAACCTCATAAACAGAAACCAAATAGTTAATAATTCACACAAGTTTGGGGACAATTTTCGAAAATTGTTGTTTGTGTCAATTACAAAGTTGCAAGTACCTTTCCAAGCAGGCTAGATTAAATTGAAAGATAAAGAAACTCTAAATCTTAAATCGCACGTAAGGAAGTTGCACGCGATCAAGTCTCAACCAAGAAGTTTACCTTTAATATCCAAAGGATTCCAAATAGCATGTAATTGATGTAGATAGCTTGGCTTATTTTCTTCTCGTTGACGTTGTGTATAGCTCTTCCATTGAATTCCACTATAACTATTCCATCTGCAGAATTTAGCTGTAACGCATCTGAAATAGGTATGCGTTATTTCCTTCCCTACGGTCTGTGTGAATTCGATACATCTACTAAAAATCTTTTCATAGTCATTATATTTTAATTTTTTTTAATCTACATGATAAAATGTTTTGACTAATTTTTTTACCAAATTGTTTAACTGTAGAGAATGTTGGACGCCTTGGGCTTGAAGTTGAAGGTCATACAGATAATGTTGTACATCAGAATTGTTTAGAAGCTACAACAAGCAAGTTTACAAATTTTTGTCTTTCACTACCTATGTTTGTTAGCGTGAAATTTACCAATTTGTTTTATTGTAGTCACTAATGAATGAATAAGAATACATAAAACGAACACAAGGATCTCTATCTCTAGACATTACAACATTGGGAACAGGATATGGAGTGGGAGTCTTTTCATTTCTCAGTATTTAGCAATTTTTACACCTTTAATTTTATTTTTATTTTTTTGGTGTTTGGTTCTTCCGGTTTCTTCAACTCCATTGTTTAATATTATATTTCTTTTCATATTCTGCTCGAGGTTACACCTTTAATTTTTCATTAGTGTGTTTAGTTCTTCCAATTTCTTTAGCTCTACTATTTTTTGTTAGACTATACAATCTAATTTTGAAATTTTGTCTTATGTGTGTTACTTCCTCTTGTAGTAAGAGATAGGCGAATAAAAAAGTTCTGAAAGTCCTCCTATAGAAAGAAAGGTAGTTTTTTTTCCCCATTTTTCCTGCTTATTTTATATTTTCCTAATATATTAAATGTCTTATGGTTCCTTTGGTATTTGTGGGACGTTGTAACGTTCAGGTTATCACCTGCAGGTTTTGATTTCTGCACTATTAACCAGCCCATCATCAACATATTTTGCGCTTTTGATGAGGTATATTTCGCTTGTACGACATATTTAAAGCTTTTGATGAGGTATATTTCGGTTGTAAATAGTCTCAATAGTTAAATCCTCGACCCTTGTGAAACTGCATTTTATTTGACATACGTACATTGATTTCTCCTTGCAACTACTATTGATGAAGAGAGGAGGACAAGTTATTTATGCTGGACGTCTTGGTCTCCGATCCCGTAAGCTTGTCGAATATTTCGAGGTGAGTTTTGCTCTCGCATTTGAGTTTGCTGCTGTTTTATTTAGTCAAAACTCGAATATTCACAAGCTAACAAAGTTTTATTATCCTTTAACCAATAAGTTGATATATGATTTCTTCCATTTAATCATGTAGGATATACCTCGAGTTCCCAATATCAAGGAGGGTTTCAATCCAGCGACTTGGATGTTAGACGTCAGCTACAGTGCTGCAGAAGCTCAACTTGATGTTGATTTTGCAGAAATTTATGTCAATTCTGATCTTTACGAGTGAGCGATAGATGTCACAGTATCATACGACATGGTATATAGTATTAGAAATGATGGTACAGTTTTTCTTCCTTAATGTTGTCTAATGTTGTACAAACAGTTGACCATTTTCTTAATTTTCCAATTTCAGGAGGAACCAAGATTTAATAAAGGAACTTAGCACTCTGGCGCCAGGCTTGAAGGATCTCTACTTCCCTACACAATATTCCCAGCCCTTCTTGATTAAGTGCAAGGCTTGCTTCTGGAAACAACATTGATCATACTGGATGAACTCACAGCACAATGCAATTAGGTTCTTCACAACAGTTACAATCGGAATTTTATTTGGCATCATCTTTTGGCAAAAGGGAGATCAAATGTAAGTCAACATTTCCTTCTTTGAAGCTTGCTTAGTCATTGAACTCTAAACAAAATAGTCGGTCTAATCATATATATATATATATAAGATTACCTAACAAAGAGCTCGAATCTAACTCTTTGTGTACTTCAAACAGAAATAGACAACAAGACTTGCTCAATCTGTTGGGAGCTACTTGTGCTGCTGTTCTTCTCTTGGGAGCCACTAATGCTTCTGCAGTTCAATCTGTCGTAGCAATTGAAAGGACAGTATTCTACCGTGAAAGAGCCGCAGGGATGTACTTAGAGTTGTCATATGCATTTGCTCAGGTATGAAATAGAAAATCTCACTACGGGTTTTAAAGTTAATTTTTAACTAATCACTCAAATCTTATTACTTATCTTGCAATTTAACTTGTTTTCACTGTTTATAGGCGGCTATAGAGACTATCTATGTTGCAATTTAGACCTTTGTTTACTCTCTACTTCTGTACTCCATGATTGGATACCACTGGACTGGAGAAAAGTTCTATTTCTACTACTTCATATTCATGTGCTTCACCTACTTCTCAACGTACGGTATGATGATTGTTGCATTGACTCCTGGCTTCCAAATTGCTGCCATTGTTATGTCCTTTCTCAGCTTCTGGAACTTATTCTCCAGTTTCCTCATCCCCCGTCCAGTACGTATTCTGATTTCCACCACACGAAACAAATTTTAAGATTATAAAAACTAGCTATTTCAATAATTTACTACTAACCTGGTGTACAAATCCTTGCAGCTTATCCCAATTTGTTGAAGGTGGTACTGCTGGGCTTCTCTTGTTGCCTGGACAATCTACGGTATTTTCGCATCTCAGATAAGCGATCAGATTGGTGAACTTAAACTCACCGGAGACACTGGTAGAGTAAGGATTACTGATTTCCTTAATGACTACTTGGGTTATGATCATGACTTCCTTATACCAGTGGTTTTCTCCCATGTTCGTTGGGTGCTTCTCTTTTTCTTTGTGCCTATGGCATCAAGTTTCTTAACTTCCAAAGGAGATGGAGAAATCCAAACTTTCGAGGGGCGATTTTTAAGAGCTTTACGCTTATACCATACAGTTTAAGTGTATATAAGCTATGTAATAGGGGTAGCTAAGCAGATTGGATAAAACAAACTCTTTACTTCATTTTTCCTTTGGTTTGCTTTTGATACAAGTGTAGTTCTGTCTTGGTTTGATTTCTTATTCAATGTATAATTGTTCTTTTTGTCTTGATGAATTTTGTATCATACCAATAAATAAGATACTTTTGAAAATTTTATTTTAATAAAAGATTCACATCTTTTTATCTGATATATGATAAGAACTTTATCTAAATTCAAATCTTGTGAGTATTCTACTATAAAGTTTAACCTCCATTTCATGAATCACATTTTTGTTAACGCTTGAAAAATTACAGATTCGACTTCTTATTCTCTTTTAGAGAACTTACACTTTTCAAGCAATTACAAAAATATGGAGAGAACAATTTCTACTAAAACTCTTTTTATATGTGATACGTTAGTATAACATAATTTATTTGAGCATGTCGTGTGAAATATGAACATCACCAAATCCTTATGGAGCCCAAACCTCTAATACACCTATTTGACTCGCACTTTCTTGCCCTTCCCCTAAGGGGCTATTGGAACAAGCACATAATGTCCACAAAAAATGTCCATGGATTTTATCAAATTGAGTAAGTTTCAAGATTTCCTATTTGAATGTGTTACATTTGCAAAACTACAATTATTGCTAATTAAGGAAATGATCTGTGGTAAAGACAAGACACGCTTGGACAAAAGAACAGCAGCAAAAGATAATATATTGATTGCACCAATTCATTCATTAAGATTTCGCTAATGTTAAGCATCAGTATGGAATCAACAAAATTCCAGTATAATATAGAAAGTATAAAATCTACTCTCATTTCCACCGTGTTTGCGAGAAAAGCGCAAGTGGTAAAATAACCAAAAATCATTCCACGCTATTAAGTAGCCAACTAAACTACGACACGTGCATTGCACGTGCGCCTAACTAGTATCTATAAATAGATTTGACATTTTCAGTCAATTTGTTGTATTCAGGAAATTAGGAATAATATTTCCTTCAATTTACCTTGGTTAAGTTCACATTCTTTAAGAAGAAGTGCAACAAATGAGATTTAAGAAAATGATATCGTTATTCTGAATTAAATAAAATAGAAAATCTAAATTAACAAACTAGACGAAGAATAATGCTCCTTGGCCAGGGTCAGTGACAGAAGGTGAGGTGCAAGGTGTTGTGGTAGGATGAGATTGGATGTTGTGTGTGTGTGTGTGTGTATTTTTTTTAAAGCCCTGTTTGGGAGAGATTAAATTTTTCTACAGTAAATCAATTCTCATTTTCAACCACACATTTTTCAATAAAATAATATTTTCCATCACATCCATAACTTTTTCTTCTTTTTCAACCACACATTTCCCATCATATCACTATTCAAAATCAATTCTTCCCC